CATTTTTGTATAGTATGAGATTTAATAATTATTTGAGTATAAAATTGTAAAAATTTATTTATTTTTGATTGTACTATAAATTTTTTAAAATGTACTACCAGTAGTACAAAAGCCTAAATCCTATCCATTAATATTAATGTTAATGTTAATTTAATATTAGTATTAACGTAAATATTAATTATAATATTAATATTAACGTTAATATTAACTTTAATGTTAACATTAATGTTAATGTTAATTTTAATATTAACATTAACGTTAATATTAATTTTAACATTAACATTAACGTTAATGTTAATTTTAACATTAACATTAACGTTATGTTAATTTTAACGTTAACATTAATGTTAATATCAATTTAATGTTAACATTAACGTTAATGTTAACTTTAATGTCGTCAAGGGTGACTATTTTTGACAATTATTAAGGGGGTTAACTGTTTTTTACAATTATAATAAGGGCATGTTAATAAATTAAACAGATGCCCTATTTACTCGGGATCTCTGTTAAAAATTAAATTAACACATAACATTTCATTAAATTATTATATAAATTGTAACCTATTTCGCAGGTTACCATACAGTATTTTTAGATTACATTATATATATGGGAACCTGCTTTGCGAGTTCCTATTTTGCGTGACTGACAATTGTGCTTTAGTATTAAAGCAACCACAACATTGTTGTTGATAAATTTATATTATATAGTATAATAAAAATTATATATCAGATGACTTTAACCTGGGTCAAAATAGAATTTTCCAATAAATATTTATAAATACATACAGTCGATTGTGTTTTTCTATATTAATCTTTTTTTCTCTCTTTAATACTTAATAATAATTTTATTTGATAAATTCTAAACTTTTTTGATAATTCAACTGAATCTATCATCCACTAAATATAAAAAAAAAATTTTAAACCAATTTATAGCAATAATAAAAAAAAAAACTAAAATTCAGTTATCTTGTTTATTGAAGAGGAGAAAATTTCTTTCTCTAAGTCTTTCAATTTATCCCAATTATATATTATTTCTTCATTAAGATCAATAGCATCAGTATTAGAAATATCATTTTTTTGGTATAATTAAATAACAGAAGCAAATCATTTAGCGAGGTTGCTTTAATAACACATATTTATGAATATAAAATATCTGCAATTGATTTATTTAATTTATTATTTGAATATTCTTGAATTTTCTTATCATTGACATTACACACATATGCAGAGTCCTTTTGCTAATCATAATGAATACAACATATTAGTTACGTGTAGATTGTAATCTGACAACCTATGAAAACTTATGTAGATTAGGCTCACTCTTTTTGTTGAATTAATTGTTTTTTCTTCAATGTTTGGTCATTTGATACTATTAGATTTTTTCTAAAAAATTATTGATTTTATAATTCAAACTCTAAAGATCATTATGAAAAATTATAAGAAACATGAAATTACATTTTCCTCAGAATTAGAAGATTCATAATAGTTTTGTATTGCCCTTTCACTTCTAGTTCTGCGTTGTTTATTTTGTGAACCGTTATCATCATTCTAAAGATTAAAAATTATAGTTTGTTAGGAATAAAATCACAAAATAATAAATCATTAGTTGAAATGTGCACACCTGTAGCATGTTGGTTCGATTCCTTTCCTCGGTCAAGAGCATAATTTAACTAATAGAATAGCATTAATCATAACTTATATAACATAGAATACTGTAATGGACAAAAAACTTACATCTTCAGTTTTAACCTGTAAAGTTTTTAGTTCATTTTGCATTTTGGCATACTGGATATCTTTCTTTAAATTCTGAATCTTAATATCATTCCAGAATTTTTTAACTTCTGGAGAACTCTTAATTTTCTAGAAAAGCATATCAATTTAAGAACACAGAAAAGCAATTGTTAATGATATAAAAAGTACTGTACAGAACAAATTATGTCCTTACACATTAATAGGCATTAGGCTCACGACAAACTGCAACGAGCACAGTGACTCAACACTGGGTTGGACTCAGCGATCTCCCAGTGTGTTGCAGCAATAGACTTAGCGATCATACCAAAATTCCCAACCAACTCAGCGATCGGTTGTTGCTTATTATTGCCGAACTCAGCGATCCATATTGCAATATGGGCAGAATCTTGGCCTGTCAATAGAGCCAAAACATAAAAAAAATTGCATACTTCCCAGTTGTTAAGTAACTCTTGCGCTCTTTTTGCTTTTTTAATATTTTTATCAGTTAAAAATTTCTGAAGAAACGATTTGAATGCACTATGCTCCTCTGCTCTATCTAAAAGTGACGTTGTTTCGTATCTCCATTCCAAAAAGCCAATAAGAGTCCATTTAGATGGTTTAGTGTTTTGAAAGTATTTGAGTTCTGAACT